AACTCCGCCTCCGCCTCCTCCTCCACCTCCTCCTTCTGTTGCTTTTCCTTCGGTCTCGCTCGTGAGGTCCGGCTGTCCTTCCTTTCATCCCTTCCTTGCCTCTGCTCCCTGTTCACCCGTTCACAGCGTCGTCGCCCGCCGACTGCTGCTACTGTTACCAGCCATGCTTCAAGCTGATGTCGAACACAGCAAGGGGAGGCTTCAGTCCCTCCACCGGGTCCCTCCCTCTCCTCGTCGTCCTCCTCCGCCACTCTTATTCCAAAGTAACGCCTCGTCGCACAACCAAATTTATCGGTCCGACCCATCGCGACGCAAATCTGTCTTGACGACTCCCCACAGCACACGATGGAGAGTGGGGTTGTTCAAGACGTGGCTCTGACTCGAGCGCAGAGCACAATTGTCCTAAGCACATCCAGTCGGCACAACAATGCAGGGCAGGTCGCTGCCAAAACAGGGTCCTCGCCTTAGCACCGCGCACACTCATCCGTGAAAACTTCCAATGGCTACAATGATGGAGGATGGGCCTTGTTCAAAATACCGCTCTCGCCATCAAGCCGCGCGCGTTCGTCTTCAAAAACCTACAACAGTTTTCCCGCTCGAAGGCGGCTCTGCTTCAACAGAAACTGCAATTTAAGAAGTCTTGAAACATCGGCCAGGAAACGGAATTCGCACACCATCTCTACAACTGGAAGACGGCATGTGCTGACAAGTGGGCTCACGCACAATACCTGTGTATCTTTACGACCGTACATGTCTACGCGTGCACCGATTACAAGGACAGAGGCTGGACATTTTCAAATGAGGCCTACGATTGAACGGCAAGGGCGCGGGGCTTCCTACAATGAAAAACAAACATTGCAGGGACATACCATGTACGGGTTGGGACCAGAGGATGCTTTCATCATTGCTGCTGCATGCTGGGTTTACTGTGGCGCTCCTCCTCCTCCTCCTCCTCCTCCTCCTCCTGCTCCTCCTCCTCCTCCTCCTCCTTATCATGCCCCTCGAAGTTGCTAAATCGGCCTTCCAGGGACGCAGGACTCGTGCGAAGATCTTCGCTCTGCCACGGACGGCAAAAGTTGGGATAAGTTCTGCCACGAATTTGTCCGGGAGGTAGCGCTTCAGACGCGCGGCGGCCTTGCTACATGAATCAGCAGGGATCCTCATCCTCCTCCCCGTCCAACCACCTCCTCCGCCACCCCCTCCTCCTCCTACTCTTTCTCTTCGGCCTCGTCCTCCGCCCCCGGCGCCTCGACACCAAACCCATCTCATCACGGAGTCTGAATGGCCCTGAGACCACCGAAAATCAAAGGTAACGCTACTCAACAGCGGAACGATGTTGATATACTTGACCACGCTGCCAAACTACTTCTGCACCCATCTGGTAAACTACTGAGGCCAGGTTGCTGCGACAACAAACCAAACAGGGAGGTCGTCTGGTTCTCCACCGCTCGGAATACGAGGAGACGCAAAGATGGCACCGAACCACCATTGCACGCCGCGCGTGAATAACTCCTCACCCCGCCACTTCCCGAAGTGAAAAATGGTGTGGAACATCGAAATCGAAACTAGGCTCCGAAGCGAGTCTGCTTCAAGCATTGCTACCTACTTGTCGTCGATCTGTGTCCCGCTGGCGAGCGTGCTGCGCAGCCCGATAATGTCGAGCGTCAGCCCGATAATGTCGAGCGTCAGCGGCTACACGACCATCGCGTCCAGCCTTAACAATGCTGTTCGGCACGCCACAACGCACACATGCCGAAGCGAGCGGCGCGATCCAGGCGAGCGTCGGCGGCGAAACGATATTTGCGCCCAACTTCACGAAGCTGTTGGGTACGCCTCTGCACGCACGTGCCAAGGCGAGCGGCTCGATCAGGGCGAGCGTCAGCAGCACGATCTGCGCGTCCAACTGCTCGGTGCGGAGAAGCTGAGAGGCGGCTACAAAATCGCGTAGGGGTGTTCCAGAAGGGTCATGAGCAGCAGGAAGCCTGGCCACCAGTCTGGCCTGCTTAATCATGTTGCCGAGCTCGTCTTCGATCTTCGTGATGCCAGGGGCCGTGACGTGCCGAGCCACATTGCTGGCCTTATCGAGGTCAGTGAGCTTCTTGGCGACAGCGCCCGTGTCGCCCCGGAAACGCGTCGAGGGGGCAGAATGGTGGAGACTCAGGCAATGCACGAAGTCGCGCCATTTTCCTCGAAAAGAAGGAACCGCTATCCTCCTCATCCTCCTCTTCCTCCTCCTCCTCTTCCTCCTATTCTTCCTTCAACTCCTCCTCATCCTCCTTCTCTTCCTCCTCCTCCTCCTCCTCCTCCTCCTGCTCCTGCTCTTCCTCCTCCTGCTTCTCCTCCTCCTCCGCATCCTCAAAGCCCACCAGGACCCTTCGGAACCACGGATCAGCTTTGAGGATCCTAGCCGATGTTGCAGACCGTGCTGGAGTTGGCATGCACCCCAAATGCTGGGATGTTGTGGCGGTGGCAAGGGAATGCCTGCAAATGTGTTGTTTGCAAAATTGGTTCCAGGTCCCAGGTCGAGCCCGAGGAAGGGAGTTGTTGTGGCTCTCGTTCGACGGAGTTGCATGTGGCTGACTCGCTGTATCACAACATTGTCATCCTGCCCTGTTTGGACGGAGCTGACTTGAACGTGTGTCTGAGGCGCGACTCTTTTTTGCACAAAACCTCATTCATTAAAACGGAAGTTCAACAGGGTGATGCTCGACCTCAATCCTCGCCTCGAACCTTCGCCTTCGAGCTTCGTCTCTCGGAGGAGGAGAAGGATCCAAGGGATACCCTCCGTCGAATGGCCGTCTCACCCAGTTTGGAGGAGACAACACCGGGAAGGGACGCCCAGCTGGCGACACATGTTTCTGCAGTGTCCAGTTATCATGTTAAGGGTGGGTCTGGCTCAGGGCTAGACTGGTTCAGCACGTTGACTCTTCTCTGCCAATGAATGCTGATGCCATCGCACCCTTCTTCCTTGGACTGCGCCCGACCTTCTGGAATGAGGGCCGAGGTGTGATCCTCTGGCCCTAAGGCGGTTGCGTGCCTTCCCCAATTGCATGGCCGTTGGCCCGTCCACTTCCAATCGGAGGTTGGGGGATGAGTCCGACGTGAAACGGAAACCCCCCCTACCAGGAAATCGATTTCGGTTTCGGGTTCGTGTCGTGCGTGCCGTGCGCGCGTGCGGGCGAGGCGAAGCTGCGCAGGCGGGCAAGAGGAAATCCTCCTGTGGCTGGGCCGCGGCCGGACCTGATGTTTCTCCTCCGGCGGCTGGTGGCCCGCGGTGTCCCGCTGGTCACCCGCTGTTGTCCCGAAATCCTCCTGTGGCTGGGCCGCGGCCGGACCAAATGATTCTCTTCAAGTGGCCGGTGACGGGCGGTGTCCCGCCAGCGTCCCGCTGGTGTCCCGAAATCCTCCTGTGGCTGGGCCGCTGCTGGACCCAATGATGCTCCTCCCGTCAAACGGTGGCCCGCGGTGTCCCGCTGGTGTCCCGCCGGTGTCCCGCCGTGGGTTGCGCGTTTCAAAACATCGCCGCTTGCGGCGAGCTATCCAATGCAAGTCTGCATGCAAACCGACATGCAGACCGAAAAGCACATCGAAATGCAAATCGATTTGCACATCCAAATGCAAATCGTAAGGCGCCGTGGGCGCCGCGGCGAGCTTTCCAATGCACGTCGACATGCAAATCGAAAAGCAAATCGAAATGCACATCGATATGCAAGTCCAAATGCAAATCGAAAGGCACATCGTCATGCCGTGCTAAATGCTGCGCCGCCGTTGTCGCTGTCGGGCGTGCGAGCACCAGGCTTTGCCAGTGCGTCAGGTGTTGACGTGGGAACCCCAGCGCCGTCAGGAGATGCTGCCACCCACACGCAGGCGCCGCTGGCACCAAGCTTTGCCCGTGCCTCGAGCACCAGACCTGCAACCAAGGCAGCATCGGGTGGTGCCGCGAGCAGTCACTGTGGCACCGCAGCACGCACGTTCAACCACGTCGACTAGCGCTGAGGTGAGGTTCGCGCGATTGATAAACGCACGCGGGGACAGCGCTTCACGACAATGTCGAGTGCGCTTCGCCAACATCGCCACATCACATCACGCTCACGTGCACAATCACACTACTCCGCCCCACAGGCATCTTCAGAACAACAATCACCACTTTTGCCGATTGCTGCCCCCCCAACCTCCTTATCACCCGCAGGGTTGTCGTATAGGTATATATGTTGCGTTGGCGGGCCAAAGGTGAGTCATGTCCCTCCACGCCAATTGTTGTTTCTGTTCCATTTGTCACTCCCGCCCGCCCGCCAGTGCTCGCTGGTATGTCAAGGAGGTTTCTCTGAGGTTTCATCTCCTCAGAATGTAAGTAATGACCTGTTTGCCCTGTCTTGCATGTTCCAGCCCGTCAGCGCGGGCAGGTCGGACTGGATTCGCCGGTTCGTCTAGGGACCCTGGAAAGTGTTGTCCAGCTGTCCGTGGAGCGTCACTGGGTTCGCAGAGGTCGCAGATATAAAATCCTCCTCCTCCTCCTCCTCCTCCTCCTCCTCCTCCTCCTCCTCCTCCTCCTCCTCCTCCTCCTCCTCCTCCTCCTCCCGCTTCAAACGTCAGCCCCTGGACCTCATTTGAAGGGGGGGGGAGCAAAACTTCAAGGCGGATTCAGCCGCGACGACGACAAGCCTCCAGTCGGAGGCCCACAAGGAGCAACAGCAACAAAACATCAATGTTGATCCTCAATCCTCGAACCCAAGGTCACTCAAATTCGCGCATCGCGCCCAGCCATGCAGGACGCCAGCCTGGGCCGCGATGCGCGCACCGCCATTATCTCCGTGCCCATGGGGGGTGACCTACACGAGCCCCTCCCGTGATGCTCTGAGTGCCCTGTTCGCTGCCGAAGAGGAAGAGAAGGATCCAGGGGCCTATCCTTGGGTGCCCTCCTCGTCCTCCTCTTCCTCCTCTTCCTCTTCCCCAGATCCTCCTCTTCCTCCTCAGCGGGTGCCCTCCTTGCTCCCCCCCTTTTCGGACCGCCCGGTGATCCCTGGCCGCGGCCGGGCGAGCCCTGGAGCCTGCCAGGCCAGCGCGCCCCGCGGCTTCAGAGGCTCACGTCGGGGAGGGCCTGCGGGCTGCCCTCCGCCGCCCTGCCCCCCCCCCCCTGGTCGGCGAGGGGGCGCGGGCGAGGACGGGGGCGACGGCGAAGGCGGGAGGGCGCCGACGGGGCACCTGCCCCGGCCCCGGCCGGCCAGGTAGAAGTCGTACGGGCACGCTCGGCTTGCCTCCTCATGGCACACGCCTTGCAGACGTGCTGCAGCGGATTTGTATGTGGATTCCTCCGTGGATTTGTGCCCGAAGCGGCGAGCGAAAAACGGAGTGAATTTCGCGTGGAGTTTTGTTTAGCCTTCATTCCTGGCCCCAAAAAATCACCTCGAAATCCGGAACGGAATTCTCCAGGACACTCTGGGCCCATCGTTTCGTTTTCCGAACGAAATCCGCTCTGCGATCGATGTTGGCGCCATGATGTCTCCTGGCCTGGCCGGTGGATCGGACGCAGCGGGTGCTGGGGCGGGGCGCGCCTGGAGGAACAGCCATCGGGCGTTGGCCAGTGGGCGGTCGGGACGCGGCGGACGCGCACAAGGGAAAGATGGGGACAGAAGCCGGCGCACGCGGAAAATGCCGAGGCCGTGCTGATAGCGAGGACACTACGCAGGGTGCAACCATTGGCTGCGCGCACGGGGGGGCAGGGGAAAGGGGGAAGGCTTCTTAGAAGGAGGCCGCTTCTTAGATGGCGGCAACCCTGCACCTACGGATCAGGCCTGCGCCTTGTGAAAAGCAAAAGTACTTCTATCCCAGACATCCGGCAACTTTTTCGATGCGTGGGCCCGGGAGGTCTGGACCACTTCACTAGGACCAGCTTTTCGTGCTGAGTCGTTTTGTCACGGTCCCGAGGCCCCCGAGGCCGAAAACGGCCAAACACCTGCCGCTCAAACTTTTTCGGAGCGTCGGATCTCTGGGAAGAAGCCTTCCCCCCTCCCCCTTCAGGACATCCTTTTCAGAACATGAAACCCTCCGCCGGCCAGAACTCACAGAACATCCAAGGGTACCCTCCCCAGGATGCACCCGAGCATCCAACAAGCACGAAGAACCTCAGCGTGCCCCCCCGAACCGACCTCAATCTTAATAAGATCTAAAATAGGATGGTCACCATCATCACCATCGACATCAGCATCACCACATGGAAACACTCAACTGACTCAACTAAAACCCGCCCTAACGAAAACCAGTTAGACCTCGGTCCGACGGCACCCCCTTCTCCGCGCGTGGCCGAAACAGAAGCCGCCAGGCTGCGAGCCGCCAGCCGCGCGCGAGGCAGAGCGACTGGACCGGCGGAGCACCAGCACCCAGGTGTGATCAAAGAAGCAACACACACACACACACACACTCTGTAGGGAGGAGGAGTGGGGAAGGGCCAGGCGTTGAACGCGCGTTGGGTCATGGGTGCGATTCGTCGGACCCAGAGGGGGGTTCCCGTTCGAGCGGGGACCCCCATCCGACATCAAGCACCCATAGCTAGAGACCTCCCAGATGAGGTCCGAGCAGATGGGGTCGGAGGATCGCGCCGCATCGACGACGTCGGCAATGCATCGGCGACGTCGACGTGAAGCAAATCGGGCTCCAAATCGAGCCGCGCCGGCGATGCATCGACGATGCGGCGCGATCCTCCGACCCTATCTACTCGGACCCCATCTAAGAGGCCTAGAATAGCTCTCCCCCAGAATTCCACCCCAGGAGTTCTGAGAGCCGTATATAGGTGTGGGTACCAGTTGTCAGCTCGTGAAGGTGGACAACCCCAGGTGGGAGAGCAGCAGAGCAGCAGAGCAGCAGAGGAGGAGAGCGACACCCAGGGAACCAGGACGGACACAGAGCAATAACGAAGCGAGGCCGAGGAAAAATCTGGACGAGGGTGAATCGGAAATCTCTGAGACCCAGCGGCTCTGGACAATGCATCGGGCACCGCGGTCGTCCCAGGGCGTTCCGGAACGCTCTGAGAGCGCTCCAGAAAGCGCTGGGACGGGTTGATCCTCGTCCCAGCCCCGCCCGACAGACCCGTGGGAGGGGAGGAGGAGGAGCGACGGAGGGACGGCCCAGGAGAGGACGGCACCCGGGCGACAGCCCGAGAAGCGAGCAGGAGGAAGCAGAGGAGCAGCGCACGACGGCGGCGAGAGGGCAGGACGACACCACCCGGCGGCGCACCGGCCCAGAGCCGAGAAGCCCAGGGAGGCCGACCGGCCAGTCGGCCAGGCGGCGGCAGCACGAGGGGCGGCGTGAGGCACGCAGTGGGAGTGGGCGGGTAGAGAGGCCGACCAGCCGCAGGCCAGCGAGGCAGCCATACTGTGGGCCGGAGTCACAGACGGACGCCCCCACGGCTGGAGGAGAGAGAAAGAGAGCGAGAGAGAGAGAGAGAGGCGCGGGAACCAGGCTTGGCGAGAAAACGGCCGGAGACGGGCCTAGAACCTGTACCAGCTGCAACGCAGGCACGGACAGGCGCGCGCCTCATTGCGGAGGGGGAGGCGGAGGGGAAGGGGGAGGGGGAGGCGGAGTACCCTCGGTGCGCACTGCAATCCCCAGGGCCGGGCCAGGCGCTCGAACGCCGCCTGCAGAAGAAAAGACAAGCCCAGCAGCCGGCGCGCGCCAGAGGCAGAGAGATGTGCAAAGACGGGCGGGACCACGGCTGAGGCACGCGGACTGCACCCCGCGGTGCCCCCGCCGCGCCCAGGCGGCCACTCGGCAGCGGCGGCCGGAGAGAGGACAGAAGGCCACATGAGCTGGGCACGGCCGAGGGCCTGCGCGGGCCCCAGCACCTCCGCCGCGCAGGCGCGGATCGCACTGATTGTAGGGGGCGGTGTCCTTGCCGTCCCGAGGCGAGGCGAGGCCAGGCTGGACGCCCCACCGGAGCAGCACGGGCAGCCCCCCCACTGACGGGACGGAGGCAGGTTGGCTCAGCTCCCAGATCGCGAAGCGATCTGGGAAGCAGGACCCTGGGAGGGGCGTGGGGCCAGATTCTGAGCGGATTCGCCATCATTCCCCCTCTTGCTCGATTCTCTGGGGCCCCGTCCAGGCGCGTGAACGCCGCCAGACCAGGCGAGCCACGCGGAGGGGGGCCAGCGTGAGTGGCGGCCCTGGACGGGGCCGCCATCACCCGGGCAAGGAAGGAGAGGGAAGCGAGACCATAGGGCGACGAAATCTCTACATGTCCACTGCTCCCTGGCCAGTGGCTAGTGGCCAGGGCCATCCTGAGCCCTGGCACCATGTGCACGCCCTCCTGGCCGAGGCCGAGAGGGTCTGCACACCATCCTGGGAGGCCAGGAAGCGGGAGCGGGAGCGGGAGCGTCTTTTTCGTCGTCTTTTTCGTCGTCTTTTTCGTCGTCTTTTTCGTCGTCGTCGTCGTCGTCTTTTTCGTCGTCTTTTTCGTCGTCGTCGTCGTCGTCGTCGTCGTCGTCGTCGTCGTCGTCGCGTCGTCGTCGTCGTCGTCGTCGTCGCGTCGTCGTCGTCGTCGTCGTCGTCGTCGTCGTCGTCGTCGTCGTCGTCGTCGTCGTCGTCGTCGTCGTCGTCGTCGTCGTCGTCGTCGTCGTCGTCGTCGTCGTCGTCGTCGTCGTCGTCGTCGTCGTCGTCGTCGTCGTCGTCGTCGTCGTCGTCGTCGTCGTCGTCGTCGTCGTCGTCGTCGTCGTCGTCGTCGTCGTCGTCGTCGTCGTCGTCGTCGTCGTCGTCGTCGTCGTCGTCGTCGTCGTCGTCGTCGTCGTCGTCGTCTTTTCGTCGTCGTCTTTTTCGTCGTCGTCGTCGTCGTCGTCGTCGTCGTCGTCTTTTTCGTCGTCGTCGTCGTCGTCTTTTTCGTCGTCGTCTTTTTCGTCGTCGTCGTCTTTTTCGTCGTCGTCTTTTTCGTCGTCGTCTTTTTCGTCGTCGTCTTTTTCGTCGTCGTCGTCTTTTTCGTCGTCGTCTTTTTCGTCGTCGTCTTTTTCGTCGTCGTCGTCTTTTTCGTCGTCGTCGTCTTTTTCGTCGTCGTCGTCGTGTTTTTCGTCGTCGTCTTTTTCGTCGTCGTCTTTTTCGTCGTCGCCGTCTTTTTCGTCGTCGTCGTCGTCTTTTTCGTCGCCGTCTTTTTCGTCGTCGTCGTCGTCGTCGTCGTCGTCGTCGTCGTCGTCGTCTCCTCCCTCCTCCCTCCTCCCTCCTCCCCCCTCCCTCCTCCCTCCTCCAGGAAAACGGCGGGGGTGCACAAGTGACCTCCTGGCGGCCCCTCCTCCAGGAAAATGGCGGCGGTGCACAAGTGACCTCCTGGCGGCCAGAGCTCCGCACCCACGCCGAGCCCCCGACACGACACCATGGGAATCCTCAGGCCAGCCACCGACGGAGAGGGCACCCCAAATTCCGCAATAGAGTTAAGTCGGGCGTGTCCCCCTGCAGGGGGATTTTCGACGAAAAATAAAAAATACTCAAAAGTACTTCAAAATGGTCAAAAAAATACTCAAAACAAATTCCCTATTTTGGAATATTCCCTCTGTAGAGGGACAGGCCCGACTTAACAACAGAATGGGGGGGGTCACATTTGGGGGGGGTCTGATTTGAGCTGTCTTGGAGAGATCGGGGGAGTCTGGGCAAAAGGCAGCCCTTTCATGGATGGTCTGGGGGGGTCTCAAACTTCTCGTCTTGGAGGGTTGTGACCCCCTGCCTTGTTTTACAATATCTGGAGTAGGCAACCACACGTGAACCCTGGCCACGCAGGTCATGTTTCTGAAAAACCGCTGGTGCTGAGAATCTGAAGGGTGCCTGCAGCCAAATGAACCTGGTCCCCGCGGGGGTCTACGATGCCCCAGCGTCGCTTGGACCCGCAGGGGTAGGGCTCGCAGTCAGTCGACATCTCACGAGGTGCATCCTGACCAGGATTTCGAGGCGAGACAAGCCGTGGCGACGAGGGAAGGGCAGCGGTATCGGCATCTTGCCTTGCCATCGCTCCGACGCCCACTGCCCATGCATCGCTCAGCTTCGTGCGCGGGCCCTTCGCAAGATGACCCAGGATGCTCCCCGATGGTCCTCGCCGAGAAAAGGTGCACACGCCCGAGCGATGCCAAGTCCTCCACCTCTGAGAGACGGGGGGGCGTGGCGGGGGGGGCTCGCCCGCGCCTGCGGGCTGTCGCAGGCGCTGCGCTGCGGGCTCAGCATGCCGCGGCCCAGGCTGCCCAGCTCCCGCGCAGCAGCCGCGTGCGCGGGCTCCTCCGGGGCCTGCAGCCCGCCTGGCAGCCGGCAGGGGGCCCCGCGGGGCCTGCGCCAGGGCTCCTGCCGAGCCGGTGCCCCAGGAGCGGTCCGCCGGGCCCCCTGGACAGGCCAGCGGCCCTCGCCAAGCCCGAGCTGGAACGAGCCGGGAAACCGGACCGGATCGGATCGGAAACGGATCGGATCTCCAGCGAGCCGCGGGTCGAATCGCATCGACTCGGATCGCAGACGGCCCTGCCTGGTCAGGCCAGTGGCCCTGGTCCGCAACTCCTGGTGAGGACGCGCGCGAGCGATGGTATTCTAGCAAGACAAAACGAGGCGAGCCTCGGGATAAGCGAGCAGCAAAATGCAAGCAAGCCAAGGTACGGAAAAGAGCCCACGAGCACGCAAAGCGAGAAAACTGCGGCAAGCAGAATCAGTAAAAGACAGACAAGCCAAAGCGAGCAAGTACAGGTGGCCACACGCACACCACCACGGAACAACAACATGCTCGGGCAGCCGAGCAAAGCGAGCAGACTATCAAAGACGAGCAGGAGTTTTGCAGGGCTGGGAAAGATGACACACGGCTGAGAGACCACTGATGGATCATCGCGCAAGGAATGATGTGGCCGATGCTGTTTTGGCTCGAGCGATTGCTTCTGCGGCCCTCGCAAGAACGCCGCGGCACACTGCCCAGGCGCCCAGGGAGAGCGAGGTCTGGCTTGGATGCTCCTAGGACCGCACTCCGCTGGCCCTCCACGGGGCCCGCGAAAATGGCAACATCTCCGCAGCCAGCAGCCGTCAGCGCGGGCGGGATCTAGTTTGGATGCCCGTAAGACCGTATTCCGCTGCACCTGCAGGTCAGCAGCCAGCAATCATCAGAGAGGACGACTCTGGGTTGGATGCCCGCAGGACCGCGTTCCGCTGGACCCCCGAAGGGCCCAGGAAGCCACAGCAGTTGCGCAGCTCACACCCCCCAGGGAAGGCGGAGGTCTAACGTGGACCTCCTAGGAGTTCGCGAAAGTGGCGACGTCTCCGCAGCCAGCATCCACCAGGGAGGGCGAGTTCTAGTTTGGGTGCCCGTAGGACCGAACTCTGCTGGACCCCCGAGGAAATGCCGAAAGTGGCGACATTTCCGAAGTCAGCAGTCACCAGGTAATCAAAACCTCTGGGGGCCGACGTGGTGAAGGAAAAAAATCAAATTAGCCTGGCGAAGGACCCAACAATATGCAGCTGTGAGTGCCGCACTTGTGAATACCGTCTTCGGTGGAGCTCCCTATGGGGCCACGAAACCTGTGAGAGGTGCGCCCAAATGAGGGTGGAACTGCATGCGAACGCTGCCTCTGGGGCCTTCGGTGGAGCTCCCTATGGGGCCACGAACCTTGTGAGGGGTGCACCCAAATGAGGGTGGAACTGCATGCGAACGCTGCCACTGGGGCCTTCGGTGGAGCTCCCTATGGGGCCACGAACCCTGTGAGAGGTGCGCCGAAATGAGGGTGGAACTGCATGCGAACGCTTCCACTGGGGCCTTCGGTGGAGCTCCCTATGGGGCCACGAACCCTGCGAGGGGTGCGCCCAAATGAGAGTGGAACTGCATGCGAACGCTGCCACTGGGGCCTTCGGTCGAGCTCCCTATGGGACCACGAACCCTGTGAGGGGTGCGCCAAAATGAGGGCGGAACTGCATGCCAACACTGTTACTGGGGCCTTCGGTGCAGCTCCGTATGGGGCCACGAACCGTGTGAGGGGTGCGCCGAAATGAGGGTGGAACTGCATGCGAACACTGCCACTGGGGCCTTCGGTGGAGCTCCCTATGGGGCCACGAATCGTGTGATGGGGGGTGCGCCGAAATGACGGTGGAACTGCATGCGAACGCTGCCACTGGAACCTTCGGTGGAGCTCCGTATGGGGCCCCGAACCCTGTGAGGGGTGCGCCGAAATGAGGGTGGGACTGCATGCGAACGCTGCCACTGGGGCCTTCGGTGGAGCTCCCTATGGGGCCACAAACCCTGTGAGGGGGGGTGCGCCGAAATGAAGGTGGAACTGCATGCGAACGCTGCCACTGGGGCCTTCGGTGGAGCTCCCTATGGGGCCCCGAACCCTGTGAGGGGTGCGCCGAAATGAGGGTGGGACTGCATGCGAACGCTGCCACTGGGGCCTTCGGTGGAGCTCCCTATGGGGCCACAAACCCTGTGAGGGGGGGTGCGCCGAAATGACGGTGGAACTGCATGCGAACGCTGCCACTGGGGCCTTCGGTGGAGCTCCCTATGGGGCCACGAACCCTGTGAGGGGTGTGCCGAAACAGGGACATGCAAGGGGCAGAGGCAAGGAGGGTGAGGAGGAGGAGGAGGAGGAGGAGCAGGAGGAGGAGGAGGAGGAGCAGGAGCAGGAGGGGATGCAGCGGGAGGAGAAGGAAGGAGGACGCGGGCGCTGTCTCTTCAAAACGAGGACCCAACATCACAGGAAGGTTGGGAAAAAAAACGACGTCAGGGGTCTGGGGAGCTGGCCTCCTCTCATCGCTGAGAGGGCCCAAGGACACATGAATAAGCACACCTGCTGCGTATTTCCCCGACATTTCCCTTCCCCTCCACGTCCCAGATTCGCACATCATCCTGCGAGTAGACGTTTGCTTGTGTCTGTATTTTCCCCACCAGACTGTCTCTCTCTCTCTCTTTCTATCTCTCTCTCTCTCTCTTCGCCCTGCCCGGGGCAGCCGAGCGGCTTCCCACCCCCGAAGGGAGGCCCCAGGCCCCGGGAGGTTCCATCCCCGCCCACACCACGGCGCCGCCTGCACACACAGGCGGCGCGCGCGCGCCTTTCGCTGGCTCGCCCCAGTCCTCGCCGGAGGGCGTTCTTGCGCATATTTGCAGCCTCTCCGCATCCCCCCTCCATCTTCTCCCTCCACCCGCCCCGCCCCGCACGCGCGGCCTGGAAGGCCACGCGGCTCGGGCATCGCGGGGAGCCTCTCCTGGGGCACAAGCACGGGGAGCAGGGCGACGAGGGGGCAGGCGAGGATGGAAGGGTCGGAGTGCCATTGGCAGAAGAGGGGAGGGGAGGAGGGGGGGAAAGAGGAGGAGGGGGAGGAGGAGGAGGAGGAGGAGGAGGAGGAGGAGGAGGAGGAGGGGGAGGAGGACAAGCTAGGTGCGCTCGCGTCATATCTGACATCCTACCCCTCCCTCCCATCCCTTACCATGGCGTAGATCCCCTCTCTACTCGCACAGTCGGATGTCGAGCAGGGCAATGATCCCGAAAGGGTACGCGATGCATTGTAGAGCACGGCATGGCATGGCGTAGAAAAGCACCGCAAAGCGTAGCATCAACCTAGCATTGCATTGCATGCCGTGGCATGGCACGGGAAATGACGCCAGCGCTGCAGCGGGAGCACGAATCGAAACGAGCGGAAGCGCGGAAATGAGGCCAGCGCTGCAGCGGGAGCACGATTCGGAACGAGCGGAAGCACGGAAATGAGGCCAGCGCTGCAGCGGGAGCACAATTCGGAACGAGCGGGGCCCGAAAATGAGGCCGGCGCCTCAGCGAGAGCTGCATTTTGAAAAAATGCAGGCGAAAACCTGTAAAAACCATACGCGGGGGGGGGGTCGAGCAATTTCAAACCGTCATCAGGGGAAGAGGGAGAGTAGTATCCGCCGACCCCTTGTGGGTCCCTAGGCGTGTGAGATAGTTCCCCCCCCTACAGTCCCCCCCCAGGGACCCCAAACTGGCGATTTGACCCCCCCCCCATGGCCCCGCCCGAGCGACTCACGGAGCTTCTTTGGGCTCAAAAGTCTCTCAAGGCGGCCCAAGAAGGCCCCAAGACTCCTCCAAGACGGCCCACGAGGGCCCCGAGACGCCAAACGAACGCTCCAAGGCGCCCAAGATGGCCCCAAGACGGGCCAAGAGGCCTCCAAGACGGCCCATGAGGCCTCCAAGAGCAGTTCTCAGAAGGGCCGAAGAGCCGAAAATCTTCAAATTCCTATGGAAAACGTACATTTTGATCATATACGGCTTCTCGGCCTTCACGGCGTTGAACACGGTCCAAGAGCACCCCAAGACCGCCCCAAGACGGCCCAAGAGGCCCCCAACACGCGCCCAAGTCCGCCCAAGAGGGCGCCAAGACAGCCCAAGAGGCCCCCAGGACGGCCCAAGAGAGCCCCAAGACGGCCCCAAGAGGGGCCCAAGAGAGGGAGCCCGAACTGACATCCCGAGCCTTCCGCCCCGAGACGGCCCTAAAAGGCCCCGAGAGGCCCCAAGAGGCCCCCAAGACGCCCCCAAGAGGCCCCAAGAGGCCCCCCAAGAGGCCCCAGAACGGCCCCAAAACGGCCCCCAAGAGGCTTCGAAACTGCCTCCAAGAGTCCCGCGAGAAGCACCACCAGAGATCCCAGCGATCATCGCACAAGCGGGATTCGCGCTCCCGAGGCGAAGAATTCCAAAACCATGACCCAGAACATTTCCTCCGCGTCCCCCTCCTCCTCCCCCTCACCCGCCTTGTCCACGTCGGCCCCCCAGTGGCGTCAAAACTGCTTTCCAGAGGCCCCCGAAAGGAGTGCCGCGAAATTCCGATACACATACAAGAACCTCTCACCCAAAGACCATAACCCAGAGCCTCCTCTCAGTGTCCCCCTCATCCTCCTCCTCAACCACCCTCTCCTCGTCCCCCTCCTCCTCGTCCCCCTCCTCTTGTTCATGGCCCGTCACCTCGACACGTTCGATGATTCTCCCCTGTGTCCTCCGCCTCACCCCCCATTCTCCTGTCCTCGTTCTCCTTTTTCCTCAGCGCGCGCGCCCGATTCGGCATCATTTGCAGGTCTTGCACTTCAGAGTGCCTTTTTTTGCGTCGCGCGGGACATTGTGAGGGTCGGGGAACGCCGACTTCGGTAGTCTTCTCTTGCACGCGCCGCTGCACTGATACGCCTGGCAACTGCGGGCTGTGAACCCGAGTGCCGCGCAGCTTCCGCACACCACCTTTTTTTGATTCGACCATCGATGATGTTCTTTTTGGCTCTGCCTCAAATGTTTCGTGTCTGAGAACGCTCCTCCGCACGCCGCGCACGTCAGCGGCTTCGCTTCCGCCTCGGCTCTCCGTTTCCTATTATTGGACTCAAGCGTCGTCCTCTGACGTTCTTCCGCGCATTTCCGACAAGACGGCACCAAGAGGGGCCCAAGAGGGCAACCAAAAATTCAAAAATCTAGCTTCCCGCCCCCACGAGCCCCAGGGGGCCCCAAGAGTGCCCCAAGAGGCCGCCAGAGGCCCCCAAGAGGCCGCCAAGACGCCCCAAGGAGCCCCCAAGAGGCCCCCAGGAGGCCTCCAAAAGACCACCAGACGCTTCCGCATTGCGAGCCGTCAAGCCAACTGCAATGCACTCCGCGCATGCAGCCTTGCTCTTCCTCGCGACGTGCTCACAATCTTGCTCGGCGCTGTGCTACGCGACGTGCTGCTGCTACGCGAACTGTTTCGTGCGCGCTGCGAACGTCAACAGCCTCTTCACCCGTTTCGACTCATCTGCCACATCTTTCGCGGTGATGCTTCGCTGATCACAGCTTCCGCACGCTACTCTTGCTCCTTTCGTCTTCCGGTGCTCCTCCACTTGGTTGAGGGGCGAGAGGCCGACCTCCCAGAAGGACACCCCGCACCCGGGTGCACAGCACGCAAAGCGCTCGCAAAACACGCCCCAGACCACCGGCATCACGCAAACATGTGGACCCCCTAGGTATCTGCCACCACCCGCGCGCGACACCGCACCCTCACACAAGACGCCGCTGGCCAGAAACTCCTGGCCTCGCAACAGTCACAGAAGGGGTCGGCGGATGTGGCGTAAGCCTGTAGAATTCATATTGAGTAATTGTGGAAGAGGAGGAGGAGGAGGTGGAGGCGGAGGAGGAGGAGGAGGAAGAGGACGAGGAGGGGGGAGGAGGAGTAGGAGGAGGGGGGGGCCGGAGGAGGAGTAGGAGGAGAGCTATGTTTTCGTCGCAGGGCGCACGCTCAGTCAAGATCCAGGTCCACGTCAGCGGGTCAGATATGCAAGCAGAGAGGAAGAGGACGAAAGCAACAAAGAGAAGCAAGAGAAGCAGAGAGGAGCAGCGGCGGGTGCTTTGCACGAGGAGACCGCCACCTCTGGGGGCGCGTGCTCCCATCCAAATAAGACCATCGCGATTCGAGCGAATCGTCGCTCCTGCACAAGCCCGAACCGCCATCACTCCCCACCGAACAACGGGCCCAAGCCACCACAGCAGCAAAGCAAAAGCAAAAGCCTGTAGCACTGTAGCTGTGGCGTGGGCGAGCGTTCGGGTCAGTTTCGAAGAGCACTGAACTAATTACGACAGGTTCGTGTCGTGACGACCTCGGCGTTCGTTTCTGACAGTGCGTGAATGGTTCAACCTTGGAGGATCGGCGGCCTCCCGATCACGCTTACCATTCGATGTCGGCCAATTCCAGGCCAAAGGCGGCGTTCACCTTTGAAAGCCCGCGCTGGAGTCGCGCCGCGTCGGCACGACGCGGACCTACTGTATGTACTTGACAGGCGACGCTCAATTAGTCCAAATGTATATGACATGGCACGCCCTCGTTACCGCACGCCCTCCACAACTGCCCTCGCTACCGCGGCTCAACGAGTCCTCATACAGTATACCCTCGTGACCGCACGTCCAGCACAACTTGGCACGCCAATTCGTCGAAGGATGTCATCCTGACGTTTTGCTTCTGAAGCGGCCGGCATCGTGAGTAGATGGTCATATGAGTCGCATGTGTTGAGGGTGTCTCGAATGAGAGACCAATTTTGAAAAGGAACCGCCACCCAGATGTACTTGCAACTGCTGGCAACTTGAAGACAGCCGTGTGCGACGACAAGGCGAGAGCCACATGTTCAAAACAGCACGCCCTCCATCCTTGCATCTGCTTGTAAATTCAAGCGTCAGGATGACCCACGGTGAGCAAGTCACAAGCGAGACGCCTGGGCCGCCCTACCTCCATCTGGTGGTGCGACGAGGATCTGCGTTTCGGGAAAACGGGGCGAGGGGGAGGAGGAGGAGGCCTGAACTCCAGGTCACGACTCGGACCTCCTCCTCCTCCTCCTCCTCAGCCATTTCGCGTACAAGCGGCCCCCCTGCACGGGGCACGCGGGGGCGATGGGGCACGCCAACTTCGAAGTGGCGCTGCGCACTCGAGCCATGAAGGACCGTGGAGCCAACCGCCCTCACCCGCACTGCTGAGCACAGCAGTGGTGAGACCAGGCTCCCGCCGTGAAGAAGCGCCGAGCCCCACGTCATCAGCTACGTGGCTGAGACCAGGCGCGAGCGCAGCCGCCAGGGACTGCGGCCTCCTCCGCCCCCTTCTCCCCGTCCTCCTCCCGCTCCTCTACCTCCTGGCCAACCGTAGCGCCAGCCGAGGCGGCGCCGCGGGCAGCGTGCGGGACATCAGTCGAGAGGCCGTCCCCGCACAAGCCACGCATCATCAGCTGCAAAGCTGGTATCCGCGAGTGCGAGACGGAGAGCACTGGCCGCAGCGGCCGCCAGTTCGACACGGCGGGCAGGGGCAGCAGATTCTGTCGCTGCTCAAGGCGACGCACAAGCTCAACCCCATCAGCTGCAACGCTGGAATCGGCCTGTGTGGGAAGGAGAGCAGAAATCGGGGCAGTGGATCGGTGCACCCCGACGCGAGAGGGCCAGCAGCTACAACGCGGCAACCAGCTCGTGCGAGATAGCGGGCAGTGGCAGCAAGGCCTGTCGCTTCAAAGGGACGAGCCCGACATCATCAGCTACCGTGCTGGGATCAGGGCATGCTGACACCAAGCCAAGCGCCTCACTGCGAGAAGCGGCAGGCGAAGTTGGGGCCCAAAGCAGGAAGCGAAGGCGAAGGACGAGCCCAACGTCATCAGCTATACTCGACGAGGTGCGAGCAGCTGAAGGCGAACATGGAGCCCGACAGGCCAAGGACGAGCCCGAGGTCATCAGCTAGTGCTGGGATCAGGACAAAAGGCGGGAGCCACGCTGGGAGTGGTCGTGCGAGAAGGCAGGCAGTGGGCGCCACATCAGCTACAACGCTGGAAGTCGTTCATGCGAGAAGGCAGGCAGTGGGCAACACACCAGCTACAACGCTGAAGTAATTGATGCGAGAAGGGCGGCAGTGAGCGACAACCAGCTACAATAATGGGAGAAGTTCATGCGAGAAAGCAGGCAGTGGGCGGCAAATCCGCCGACCCTGTCGGCGTGTGTGAGGGGCTTCTCCGTTCGAGGCGTCGTCACCGTCATTCGTTAATCGTCGTCCCTATCGCCCCCCTTCCTTGCGCTCTCCCTTCCCTGTGCCCGTCGCCGCTCCCCCCTCCTTGCCTGGGCCCTCCTCCGCAAGCGCGCCAGCCAAAACGAAATGGCCACGCCGTGATAGACTCGAAGAAAAGCCCCTTCCCTGTGATCCCTTCCCGCCAGGAAGGGTGGGGGTCCGGGTCCTGTCCCGAGGGGGGCTCCCGGGGGGGAGTCCCTGGGGTGTCCCAGGGAGGGTCCCCGGGGGGGTCCCGCGTCAGATACGACTCCCCCCGGGGTGTCCTGGAGCTCAGAAAGCCCAAGGCGAACCCAGAATGTCCCCAGAGGCCCCCAGGAAGGTTCAAGAGGGCTTCGAATCGCCGAACGACCCGTCCAAGACGCCTCCACGGCCTCCTGCAGGACGCCTCAAGGAGAGCCTCCAGGAGCACTCCCAAGAGAGCCCCAAAAGCAAAACCCATCGAGTTCCTGTAAGGTTTTTCCCAACCATCCTGTGGTGTTGGGTCCTCGTTTTGAAGAGACAGCGCCTTCCTCCTGCCCCTCCTCCCTCCTCCCTCCTTTCATCAGATGCGCAATCCAAAAACCCTCCTCCCTCCGCCGCAGGTCGCATGCGTCTCCTCCGCCCAGTACAGCGTTTCGTGGCCCCAGAAGGGGCTCCACCGAAGGTCCCAGTGGCGCAGTCCGCATGCGGTTCCTGCGCCCAGTGCAGCGTTTCGTGGCCCCAGTGGGAGTTCCACCAAAGGTCCCAGTGGCGCAGTCCGCATGCGGTTCCTGCTGCCAGTGCAGCGTTTCGTGGCCCCAGAGCGAGCTCCACCGAAGGCCCCAGTGGCGCAGTTCGCATGCGTCCCCCCCACCCAGTACCGAGTTCTGTGGCCCCAGAGGGAGCTCCACCGAAGGTCCCAGTGGCGCAGTTCCCAGCAGCCAAACGGCCGCTTAGCAAAAGGCGGTTTTGTTTCGGGGCCGGGGGCGGCAATCAAAATCTCAAGAATATGTGTGGTGACCGCAATTTCTGAGCCGATATAGCTTAGGCCAAGTGCACCGCTACTGTGCGGCCCGATGAATGAGAGCTACCCGTGACCATGACTGCCTGGACACTGCGGGGCGCAATTCCCAACGGCCCGCCCAGAACCACCTTGTCAGCCCCCTGAGAGTAACGGCCCAGACCACTGAAGCAAAATTGGGAATGGACACATCCTTCCTGAGGGTTCTGATGGGCACTATACCTTGCATCGCATTCTGCAGACGAGCTGCTGTGAAGGGATGGGATCCCTCTTGGGGCGCTCCGAGACAGCCTGGGATGGCCCCAAGAAAATCCGAAGAGGGCCACAAGGTGGCTCCAAAACGGCCTAAGGGGGGTCAAGATGGCCCCAGGAGGGCGGGCCCCACTGTTGTAACATCCGTCGGGTGCCCTCTTTGGGGCATTTCTGGGACCCTTGTGGCCCCCACTGGGGCAATCTTGGAACAATCTTGAGCCCTCTTGGGGCCTTCTTTGGGCCCTACCAGGCCGTCTTGGAAAATACCAGGAAGGCCCTCGACGGATGCTACAACGGAACCTCCTGTTGTAGCATACGTCCGGGGCCCTTCGGGGGCCCTCCGGGGACCCTTTTTCCCCCCCTTGGGGCCGTCTTGTAGCATTCTTGGGGCCCTCTTGGGCATCCTCGGGGCCCTCCCACGCCGTCTTGGAGGGCCCAAAGCCCCCCGACAGATGCTACAACGGACCCCCTCTGTTGTAGCATAGCTCGGTATGGAAAATCGACGGGAAGCGGCCCATGGACTGGGCCTCGGCGGCGAGAATCGATGCCTCGCGAAAACGGGCCATGCACAGACCGGCATTTAGCGGTGGGGGCGCGGTGCACGTCGGGTGCGGGCGTCGCCGCTTTCGCTGTGCACCCCGCCCCGCTGGCCAAGTTGCACATCTGTACGTGCTCCGTTTTGCGCGGAGTTCACAGGCGAAACAAGCACGTACAGATGTACACTGAACGGCCGGCTAAGTGTACATCTGTACGCAGTGGATGTTTCGGACGGGGCGAGCACGTACAGACAGGCCCTTAGCGACAGGGGCGGTGTACAGGTCGGGTGCGTCACCACGCCCCTCGGCTGCGTCAGGAGGACGGGAACCGCTGAAAACTCTCACTGATAGCGCCAGGGGGAACCATTAGAGACGCAGATTTCGCCCCGCAATCGACGTGAGCTCCTCTAGGCCGAGAGCGCCCAACTACATCCCACGATGCGCCCCTCGGTCGCCCCTCGGGCGCCGAAGAAAAGATCTGGAGGAAAAGACCCACACCAATTGTTCGAGCGAAGAGTGAAAGACAACGCCATGACGCGGGGGGTGTACATATTTGGTTCGCATTGGATAGCGTCGAACCGACGACGACGATGATTACGACGACAACCGCAACGATGACGACGTGGGGGGTCCGATTGGAAAGGTCGACGGGACTCCTGGCTGGGGTTGAGAAAAGGGTCGTCTGCGCATGTGGGACATTGTCGCGTCAGCCTGTCTATTGTGGACATGGTTCACATTGCGGGTACAGCTTGGCTGCAGCAGTATTTGCTTGCACACCTCTGTGTAATGTTGGTGGCGCGCCTTATTTCAATTGGATTCGTCGCCTTCGTCTCCTGTTACTGCTCCCCCGAAGCCCCTCTGCGCCCTTCGCCTATTCCCGCTCTCCTCCATGACGTTCGCTGTCCCCGTTCGCTGCTCGGCCCTGCCCCTTCCCCTTCCCCCCTCCACCCCCTAACTCCCCGTGCGCCTCCCCATTGCCCCTCGCGCGTTGCGCGGCGGCGACCGCCCCCCTCCCCCGCAGCTGCAAGGCTCGCCCCTCGCTCCTCCTCTCTTCCATTCGCGAGGCAGAGACCTTGATTCCGGACCGACTTTGGTTAGCGGCATCGAGGCCCTACCCGACAAGCGCGATCGCCCGCCTCGAATTGCGGGTGAAAGAAAACAATGAACGACAACCCAAAATTCCCTTGATGTTTCGAGGATCCGCGCAGAAAGCTAATCCACCTGCCCAAAACGTACTTCGACACCTGCCCGACCAGAGGGAGCTCCACCGAAGGTCCCAGTGGCGCAGTTCGCATGCATCCCCCCGCCCGGTACAGCGTTTCGTGGCCACAGAGGGAGCTCCACCGAAGGTCCCAGTGGCGCAGTTCGCATGCGTCACCCCCGTCCACTACAGCACTTCGTGGCCCCATAGGGAGTTCCACCGAAGGTCCCAGTGGCGCAGTTCGCATGCGTCCCCCCCGCCCGGTAAAGCGTTTCGTGGCCCCAGAGGGAGCTCCACCGAAGGTCCCAGTGGCGCAGTTCGCATGCGGTTCCTGCGCCCAGTACAGCGTTTCGTGACCACAGAGGGAGCTCCACCAGAGGTCCCAGTGGCGCAATCCGCATGCGGTTCCTGCGGCCAGTACAGCGCTTCGTGGCCCCAGAGAGAGCTCCACCGAAGGTCCCAGGTGGCGCAGTCCGCATGCATCTCCCCCCCAATACGGCGTTTCGTGGCCCATTGGGAGCTCCACGGAAGACGATACCCACAACTGCGGTACTCACACCTGCATCTGGTTGGGTCCTTCGCCAGGGTAAATGAAGAATTTCGGCGTTCTCGCCTCTGCCCCTTCCCGACGCTCCAAGACGGCCCAAGAGGCCTCAGAGCGCTCCAGTCGAAGAGGCCTCCAGGACGGCTCCAAGAGGGTGCCCAGACGGAGGATCGAAACGGCCATCTGGAGCCCTGGGCCCCAAGAAGCTCTCCAGAGGCCCCTAAAGGGTAATCCTGCTCCTCCTCCTCCTCCTCCTCCTCCTCCTCCTCCTCCTCCTCCTCTTCAGGGTCGGCGGCACTGGCCGTAAGGCCTTCTCAATATCAGCTAGAACGCTGGGCGCAGTCCATGCGAGAAGGGCGGCAAATGTGCGACATATCAGCTGGCAGAGCAGAAGTCGGGGCAGCGGGTCGGTGCACCCTGGTGGCATCAGCTACAAGATTGATATCAGGAGCTCGTGCGAGAAGGCGCACAGTGGCAGCATCTGGCACTGTGAGAAAGGCGACCGTAGGAGCAGAAGACAAGCAACATGCAGGGATCAGCTATAGCGAGAAGCGGAGGTGCAGGGCCGAACGTCACCAACTACAATGCTGGGACCAGCTCGTGCGCGGAATGGTCGGGGAGCAGCCGTGCAAGGCAGGATTGCAATTCATCGGGAGCTCGGTGGCAAGCCTCTTGTGAGAAGCGGGGTGCAAAGCTGGAGCCCACCCAATATCGGCAGTGGCAGCAGGGTCTCTTGCCGCTGGGCGGATGGGCCACTCTCAGCTACAGTGCAGCGATCAGCTCGTGCGAGAAGCTTGGGAGTGAGAGAAATCTGCTTCCAGGGTGCCTGGCACGGCGTGGGGACGATCCAATGCGGCCAGGCGGCCCTCGGCGCGATTCCGTGGGGCATCGCGAGCCGACTCGATCCACTCGATCTGGGCGATCCTCCTCCTCCTCCTCCTCCTCCTCCTCCTCCTCCTCCTCCTCCTCCTCCTCCTCTTCCTCCTCCTCCTCCTCCTCCTCCTCCTCCTCCTCCTCGCAGAGAGGCGGGGGGGGGGCGGGCGCAAGCGCTCGTGCGCGTGAGGCCTCGGCGCCCTGCAGCCAGCGCACCCAGCGCCCCTCCTGCCACTCGCCTCGTGCCGCCGCCGGGGGGGGGGAGGAGACGTGAGCTGGCGGCGAGCCCAGGTGGGGAAGTGAGAAGGGGCGGGCTTTCTCAGAAGGCTCGGAAGTTCCTGGGCCTTCTGAGAAGTTCTCTAAGCCTTCCCCGAAGACACAACAGAAAAAAACTCAGAAGGCGCGAGGGCTTCTGAGAAGCCCCGCCGCCTTCTGAGAAGGCCTTCTCCTTCTCACTTCCCGCCCCCTCGCTCGAGGCCGAGTAAGACCCGGGTTCGGGGGACTCGGGTTGGCCTGACGAGGCCATCATGAAAATGACGAGACCGTCTGAAATTTGACGCGAGCTCCCGCTGCAAAAATCCCACGAAAGCTGAACTGTCAAAATCCAGGACGCGGCTCGTCAAAAAGCGTCGGCAAACCCGAGATCCGGCGTACTCGAATCTTACATTTCCCCGGGGGGAGCCAGGAAGGCGAGCGGTTGTCCTCGGGTGCGCCAATCGTTGGCGACCTCCGGCAGGTGGCGGTGGTGGTAGGGTTCGGATCTCGCCGCGTGTTCGACGAATTCCGAACCCTACCGCGGCCGCCCATCGAGTTGCTCGAACCGTTGATCGGCGAGTGTAGGGTTCGGATTTCGCCGCCGAGCGTTGTACAGTCGGACCTAGGTCATGAGAACATCCCTCAACAACATGAGACCCTCCGTCGGCCAAAACACACAGAACGTCCAAGGGTACCCTCCCCTCGCCCAGGGTGCACGAGAGCATCCAACAAACGCGAAGAACACCAGGGTACCCTCCCCGAGCCGACCTCGATCTTACACCTTGGTCCGACTGTACCGGGGACCGCCGAGTCAGGAGTCTAAGGGGCCTCTCTCGCCTCGGTACGCCTCGGCATCAGACAGGTTCCTCCTCCTCCTCCTCCTCCTCCTCCTCCTCCTCCTCCTCCTCCTCCCCCCTCCTCCTCCTCCTCCTCCTCCTCCTCCTCCTCCTCCTCCTCATCATCCGGTTTCCGAGCCAGCTCTCTGGTCGCCGGGCCGCGCTGTGTGGGGCGATTCTGGGCCACGGGCGGCGTTCAGCCGTGCACGCCCGCGGCGGGGTCTCGCAGACGCGTCGACACGACACTGGCCTGCCGCACTCGGGCGCGCCGAGGGGAGACTCGTGAAAAGAGGGCTCGGAGCATCCTGGGCCGAGGCACGTGCGCGGACGAGGGTGGCCAGAGGGGCGCAGTGTAAGGAAAGACGAAGCATGACAAAAGAAACAAAGAAGCAAAAATAGGCAGAAGAAGAAGCCCCTTCCCTTTGATCCCTTCCCCGACAGGGGGGGGCGTCCGGGGGGGGGGAGTGTGGGAGGGGAGGGGGGGGGTCACGGGTCAGAATACCATCTCCCTCGGGGGGTCCCAGGACCAACGCAAGCCTCCAGACGAGCCAGGAGTGGCTCAAGAGGCCCTCAACATGGTCCAAGAGGGCCCCGAATCGCCGAACGATCGGTTCAAGACGTCAAAGACAGCCTCCACACGGCCCAAGAGGCCGCCAAGTCGCCCCAAGAGCCTCCAAGACTATTCCCAAAAAGCCCGAAAAAGAAATGATTTCCCTATAGTTTTTGAAAGATTTTGGCATTCTCGCCTTTTCGGCTTCCCGACGCTAGGAGACAGCCCAAGAGGCCGAGAGCCCCAAAACTGCCCAAGAGGGCCCAAAGACAGCCCACGAGGCCGCGAAGGTGGCCGAAGAGGCCACCAAGACGGCTCCAAGAAGGCGCCCCGACGTGGGACCCCAACGAACATTTCGAGCCCTCGGCCCCGAGAGGCTCCCAAGAGGCCCAAAGACAGGCCCCAAGAGGCCCCCAAGAGGCCCCAAGAGGCCCCGAGAGGCCCCGAGGAAGCTCCAAAGGCTCCCAAGGGGCTCCGACGAGGCCCCCAAGATGCTCCCAATATGCCCCCAAACTGCCCCCCAGAAGACCCCGAGAGCGCTACTACTACCACTACTGGTACTGCTACTGGCCGTACTAGTACTACTAGTACTACTACTACTACTACTACTACTACTACTACTACTACTACTACTACTACTACTACTACTACTACTACTACTACTACTACTACTACTACTACTACTACTACTACTACTACTACTACTACTACTACTACTACTACTACTACTACTACTACTACTACTACTACTACTACTACCTACTCCTACTACTACTACTACTACTACTACTACTACTACTACTACTACTACTACTACTACTTCTACTTCTACTTCTACTTCTACTTCTACTTCTACATCTACTACTTCTACTTCTACTTCTACTACTACTTCTACTACTACTACTACTACTACTACTACTACTACTACTACTACTACTACTACTATTGACAAGTTCGTTAGCCGTAGGAACTGGACATGCCGCAACCCCAACATAAAACACTGTTCAAACACTTTTCAAACAGTTACGACGCACATAGAAAAATCAAATCGCCTTCAAAAGATCGATTTTCCGATCGCTGCCACAGCGCGCCTGTCGCGCTGAAATATCACGAGAGATCGCGCGACGAGGCCGCGGCCCCGCAAACCGCGCGGCACTCATCGGGCGAGGACCCAGCACAGGCCCCTCAACGCGCGAACGGCCACGGGGGCAAGCGCCGAGCCAGAGCGCGCTGACGCGAGGGGGCCCTGCTGGCTTCGGGGGCCCAAGCTGCCTCGGGAAAGCCCCCGCCATCGAACGCGCAGATCGCGCGGATGAGCCCTGGCTGCCTCTTGGATGCGAACCCGCCCTGCACTGAAACCCAGGGTTCGCCAAGTGATAAACCGCCGTCGGTTCCATCCGCGCACGCGCTGGCACCCAGCAAAACACTCTGCCATTGCGCAATTCACCCGGCGCCGCCGCGCAAAAGGCATCGGGCAATCGATGGGTCACGACGGCCCGAACGGCCCCCCCGCACGCGGGGGGCGGGTGTTGAGACCCATGCCGAAGACGCGCACCATGCGCAATATGTTGCGCAGACCCTCTCGGGCCTCACTGCAGGCCCACACAGCGCCCCGCGTTGGCGGGCACGGCGCGCCAACGAGGCCCGAACCCCCACTGCATAGTGCCGGGCGCACCTTCGCGACGGCGCGGATATGCTCAGGCCCTCGCGCCACTGAACAGCCATGAAAACAAACATTCGCCCCGCCAGCGTCGCGAACCCTCGGCGCGTTCGGCGGGGCGGGGCAGCGCAGTCGGGCAACCCCCAGATGGACCCTGAGGGGTCGCAATGCAACTGCCCGATGTTTGGCGGGCGGCGCTCGCGTGCATGAGCGGTTCCAGGCGGGCCGATCTGACACTTCAGATGGGGGCGCACTACGCTTGAACCATTGGCGCCAGGCCACGCGCAGCGAGCCAAAATGGCGACGGAGGAGGAGGAGGGAGACAAAAGGGGCAAGCGGGAGACAAGATGGCGCGGTGAAGGCGGAGACGGGCGACGGGGGATCGAGAAGCTGGACGGGGCGCGGGGAAGTACGAGGCCTACATGGTGGAGGCTTGGAGTTGGGGGAGGGGGCGCGGTGGGGCCCTCCTGGCGCAGCCCTCCTCCCCCGCCCCCGCGGCCCCACGGGAGTCCGCGAAACCCAACAAAGCCCCAAGTGGGCGCCCAGCGCCGCCAACGCGGCCCCGCGCCCGACCACGCGGCTACCTGCAGCCTCCACGACGGCCCACTGCGACAGCGATGGCGGCCGCTACGGGCCCGCGGCGGCCTTGCGAAAACGCAGGGACGGCCCAACGGGGCTCCCGCGCGCGACCCAAGGCGCCCCCGAAACGATTACACTATCGAAACACATCTAAGCGGCCATGCATAAACTACACAATCGGCCCGAGGTCTTAGGCGCATCCAAGACGGCCCAAGATGCATCTAATATCGCCCCTAGATTGCTTAGGGGGGCACCCGCGAGACCTACGTTCAGACCCTAACCCTAAACACCCTGAGAAGCCCCAAGAACCCCCTGCGCGGCCCAGCCGAGGCCCCGTGAGCCCCTCGAGCAGCCACCAAAGGCCATCAGAAGCACCCCGAGCCGCACGTAACTAAACGCTCAAGAGGCCACCGCATGCCTCCAAGAAGACCTCAGGGGGCACCCAAAACATAAGACACCACATGCGAAATGACGCTCCAGGAAGCCTCCGATAGTCAAGAAGCCCTCTGAAGGCCCACCCGCCCCCGCCTGGACACGCTCAGCAAACAAGGTCGACAAATCCAGCTCCTTATGTTTCTGCATCGGTCCTAGACCACTAGATTGTATAGTCATGTGTCCAACGCTGGTTTAACTTATGCGCCCTCCTCATCCCCCCCCCCCCCCCCCCCCCTCCTCCTCACCCCATCCCTCCCATGCCCTCCCCTTGCACGCCCCTCGCCAGACATGCCTGTGGTAGGGCCTGGTGGGTCAACGGGGCGGCGACACCAATGCTATATGGTGAAGGTGAGTGCGACGAGGATGGCGATAACGGTTCTCGCCCAGACCAAGGGCGCCGCAAGTTGCGACGCGGCGGCCACGAGTGCCCCTCGCACTCAGGTCCACCGAGCGGCCCGACGAGCTTCACAGCAGCAGGTCGACGCCTGTGTCCACGAGCGCCCTCAGCCGACTGCCCACACGATCCCAGTACTTCGCTTTCTGGATAGCCTTCTTCCCCCTGGCGAGCGACATCTTCAGCTTCGTGTCATTCCCCTTGTACTTGATGATGGACGCCATGAGCACCCCCTCGCTGTGGCTGAGCTGCATGTCATCGCAGATGCTATGGTACTCCTGCTCGAGCACCTCGTTTGCCTGCATGCCGTAATACTCCCGCACCTGTTTCGCAGACTCCAGCTTTGCCACCAGGACAGAATGAGCATCTTTGTAGGCGTCAACTTTGAGAACCAAGAGCGTGTTCTTCACAGCCTCAGTGACCGCCTCGGGCGTGCCGTCGGTCAAGCAGTCCGACCACTTCTCGTGGTTGGGGTCCTGCAGCACACCGCGCCTGACGGCGCGGATGCACCCCGATTGCGACTCGTCCTT